ATTAAATAAAAAATATTTGTTTATTAAAATAAAGTAATTAAATTAAATTACAAAAGGTAAATAGAAAAAATATATTTATTAAAATATAGTAATTAAATTAAATTAGAAAAAAGAAAATACAAAAAATTGAGTGTTAAGAGTGTTACCACTCCTTACCAAATGTTAAGTGTAGATGTTAAAAGCAGAAAAATGATGTTGCATTTAAAATGCTTATGTGGCAAGGTGCTCTCATCACTCCTCTTAGTCTTAGCTACCTACACTCACCACCTTCTTCGGAGGTCACCAATTACTCTTTTCCATTCTCTTTCTCCCCGTCATTCCTTTCTCTTCATAACCATTCTCCCATAAACATAACATCATCGCCCAGCTTCCAACTGGTTTACACCTTACCATTCTCTAGTAATTATAAATAGAAGATGAGGGCGCAAACAGGTCACGTGTATTTGGTTCCTATACTGCAAATGATGTATCTATGGCACCGAGACTACTCATATTCCTAAGACATTGTTCGTCACACGTGAACACCTAGATTGTAAAGCTTCAACCACTAAATATTGTTTAATTCTACAAACTTTTCTTGTGACATCTTGTTCAAACTCGATGGAAAAAAAATATAGAACACGTGCTTAATTCTACCCGCCCCCATGAAACCTCCAACAAAACGAAGGAAACCTTCAAACACCTTAACCACCGTCTCCAAACTTTCTTCGGCCACCGACGCTTACCACCTTCTTTGGCAGTCACCAATCACTATCGAATACAATCATTTATCCCCTAAAATTACATTGTTGATTTACTGTGTCCTTTTAACAAATGAACTCAAGAACACAATGATTTTTTTTTTTTTTTTTATGTGTTTTGTAACAACAGAAATTACATTACTGATTTCTTATACACCTTTAAAATATTTGAAATTTATAAAATATAGAAAGGAGATTAAGCTATTTTCCCGAAGGAGAAATAGAAGGTATAGGTGGTGCTAGTGTTTGTTTGATGGACTTAGTGAGAAGATTACACCGATACGTATAGATGACGGTGGTGGGTGTTTTATTATGGGCTCATGTAGAAGATTGCACCAGAGAATTAGCAGGCAACGAAGGCTTTACACCCTTGTTGAAGCCTTGAATCTTAACAGTTGGACGGATGAAAGAGAAAAAAAAAAAAAAAAAAAAAAAAAAAAAAAAAAAAAAGTGACTGAGATTTGGAGAACTGAGCCATATGAATATTCTTAATAAAAAAACAATAAATAAATAAAAAATGGAGATATTAGTCTTTTTACCTGTATTTAATTTTTATTTTTAACGGTGTGTTAGTTATAGGGACAGTTTGCACCAAAATGAAACCATCATGACTATTTTCATAAAAGAAAAAATTAAAAACTGAACTTGTAACTTTTTTATAAAACACAAGGTTGTCTAATAATAATAATAATAATAATTCATCCCCCTTTATATATAATCCCTTCCTTCGTGTACTTTCTTCTTCCCTCTAACTACAACAAATCATCTATCTTTCTCTATCTCTATCTCTCTCTCTCTCCGATGCTCAACTTTGTTGAAGTGTTTCCTTATAATTTCTCGTCATCAACTTCACTGACTGCAGCTTCTTCCAATCTGTCACTGAATTTGATGAAGGATAACTCTAATACCACTTACAGTGATTATAACAATAGCCACAACCAATTAGAGGATGATACGGAGCTTGACTTGGTTGGAAAAAACCCTAAATGCAGTTTTCACGAAGCGGTGGTGGATCATGTTCCTCCGACTAGCAGTGGCTTTGGTAACAGTGAAGGTAACGACTTTAATTCAGTTTCCAGATCAAAGATGACTAATACCATTAAGAAAGGTGAGAAGAAGATCAAAAAAGCTAAGTGTGCATTTCAGACCAGGAGCCAAGTCGATATTATTGATGATGGTTATAGATGGAGGAAATACGGTCAAAAGGCCGTCAAAAACAGCAAATTCCCCAGGTTTCATCCATCTCTTCTTTTTCTACTTCTCAAAACCTTCTAAATTTACTTCTAAATCTTTTTAAAAGGAACAAGATTTGAAATCAAAATAATCAAATTATTCGAAACAAATTTCTTTCGCCTGTTAGTAATTATTTATGGTTTTAATTTAACATTACTTTCTTATATTATAGGGTATCTAGAATAATTATTTATTTACGAGTTCTTTATATTTTTTTACTTTAAAATAAAACATGTTTGATTTTTTAATATTTAAAATGATGCTTTTTCAATATACACGATTTACCAACTTTTCAGCGTGGCTTACGTAATATTACACATAAAAAAAAGTCTCGTGCAACTTGCTCCCATGGTTATTATTTTTTAAAAAGAGCTAACACATTATATTTTAATAACATGTTGTGGGTGTTTGATTAGTTGTCTTAATTAACAAGGCTAGGGAGTCGTTCAGCAATGAGCTCGGCAAGGTCTATGCGGTTTCAGCATACACCGTGCCTTGGTCTCGGCATCTGAGTATCTCTTCCATCTAAACTCTTATTTATAAACAAAGATATATACGGGTCGATCGACAATATAATTTCTTTCTTATATCATATCTTTTGCATGGCCAAATGACGTGATGATATTAGGAACAAAAAATATATAATTAAAGCAATTTAACAATTGAATATGATATTTGATGCAGAAGCTATTACCGTTGTACCTACCAAGAATGCAACGTGAAAAAACAGGTCCAAAGGCTATCAAAAGACGAAGGAGTTGTTGTGACCACTTACGAAGGAACCCATTCACATCTGATCGAGAAATCTACTGATAATTTTGAGCATATTTTGACTCAAATGCAAATCTACTCTTCTTGCTAACTGGAATGTGAATATAGATAAATCCCAAAATTTAGCTCGTTTTTGATGATTAGTTTCAGAATTGCTTCGATTGTGTAATACTTTGTGTTTAAGTTGCGTAACATGTGCATTATATATCTTTATTTGATAAGTTAAATCAATTTATTTAATCAAATAACATTATTCCCTTACGATATACGATTGTTCTAATAATATATGTAATTTTCCCAGAATTGTTATGTTGTTTATGATAGTTCGCTGTTTAGTTCGCTGTTAAACAAATTAGGAACGTCTTGACAAGAAAGACGGCTAGAATATAAGATCATGTTATATTGTTATCGCAGCAAGAAAAAAACAGCATTAGCGAAATGTTGCGTCAAAAGATATGCATCATCGCCAATGCCATTGTTCCGTGGCAAAGACTATAGGGAGTGGGAGGTGTTAAGGGAGGTGTGAGGATGTTACACCACCCCCTACTTTCTGCTAAGGAGGGTGTTAAGAAGAAGTTGTTATGGTGTAGCAAAAGGAGAGAGGAAAGAGAAAGTATGAAGGGTTGTTGAGATTAGTTGATTTGTATTTTTTATATATTTTAATTTTTTTTCTTTAAAATTAAACCTATTAAATTATCACATTACCACTCCTTATCTTTTTTGTGCTAGACATACTAAACTTATGTGGCATCAAAAAAACTAAAAAATCATATGTGTCAACGTACTAAGACTGTTACCACTCCCTCCAGCCTAATACAAAAAGGTAGCGCTATTCCAGTCGTTGCTAAAGCCATTGTCCTCACAATTACCGTCACCGCTACTGATTAATTCAAATACAAGTACACCGGTGTAATTTAGGTTTCCGGTACACCGACATAAGTGTCGTCACTAATGGTATATTGTCACACTCACGCCTATTGAGGTCGCCACTAATGCTCTTTTATTTTAATTTCAAAATAATATTTTATATATTTTATATTATATAAATGCAGAAATATTAATGTCGTTAGAAACTTCAAGTTATTGAGATAAGCATTAACATCCACCTATAAAGTAAGTATATGAGTTAAAATAACAAACTAAGAAAAACCAAATTAATATTTAGTAAGTAACAGTTAACTCACAAACACATTAAGTCCTTAACAATTTAACAAACTATCAAACTATCAAATCAATAACAAATCAATTAAGTCCTTAACAATTTAACAAGATACTAAATTATCAAAATTATAATAAATGCATTAAGTTCTTAACAAATTAGCAAAGTACCAAAGTATCAAAATTCACAATAAAATGCATTAAGTCCTTAACATTTTACCAAAGTTCCAAAGTATCGAATTCATAAATTTAGCACAGTACCAAACTACCAAAGTCCTTAACAATTTAATAAGTACCTGAGTTTTTTGTGGTGCTTGTGACCGCCAATACCATTAGGGGGAGGGGGAGGGGAGGGGGGGACTAGTACTCGCTACAGAAGGATGTTTAAGCATGATGCCTCTCACATGCCCCTTTCGAGCATCCTAAGACCTTCTCAAATACGCATATTCAATTGATCAAGCTCGGATTACTGGAGGAGGCCACAAGTTCAGTTTTTAGAGCAATCTCACATATTAAAACATTCTACATTTTAAAAAGATTATCAATATACTTCAACTTTAAAGAAAAAACAGCAATCTACTTCACTTTTAAGCATGGTTCTAAATAACGTAAGGCGTGACTTAGCGGCAATGTCAAGCCTCAAGCTTTTCCGAGACTTGGCGAGCCATGTCGTTTGTAAGGCGTGACTTGAGGCGGCGATTTTGTATATATTTAATATTTTTATATGTATTTTCAGCTATTATTCTATTTTATACACATATATGAGTTAAGGCGACGTTTTGGCAAAGCTTGGTGGCAGACACAAGCCTTGGAGTCATGGCGCGCCATGGCGAGCTTTTTAGATCTTGCTTTTAAGTAATAAAAACTTATGGATTTCGACTAGTGGGTCCACGAATGCTCATTGTTTAATGAGAGATGCACATTGATATGCTTCGAGTCTACTAAAATTCTATTTGACATTACAAAAATATGTTATACTTTAATAAACACACACAAAC